CATGGACCTTCCTGGCATTCGATGTGCTGGAGTGGCTCACCGTCACTGTCTAGTGTGTTTTGTTCCTCACTGTTGCCGACTCGTTGTTCTGCTGGCCCCAGGTGAAATAGCTCTGTTGGTTCTCTGGTTGATTTTCTCGGTTCCTTGGAGGTGTGCCTTGTCTTGGCCTCCTGCTGTTTGGCTTGTATGCGCAGCATGCCCTTGTGATGTGTCCTCTCTGCTCGCATCGTTAGCAGATGGTGTCACGGAAACGGCATTGTGATCAGAGTTGATTACCTTCACAACCTGCACACCAAAATTCCTTTCGCTTCCCTTCTCAGTTTCTTTGGGGCCTTTCTGAACGTAGTTGGTTCACTTCCTTGTTGTCATTTGATCCTGACTCAGACTCGAGGTCCTCATGGTGAATGGCAGCAGTGTCCTTTGGTGGGGGCTGCGGAGTCTTATTCATCTTCCTCATGGCTGCGGCAGATTCCTGGGACACTTTTACGGCCGATGCTTCTTCGATGGCCTCCTTTAGTGTTATTTTAGGCTTTGTGAGGAGGTGACTCTGTAGTGTCAGGTCCCTGAGTCCCAGGACTACGTAATCCTTCATTGCCTCATCCATGTTCAGGAACTTGCATGCCCTGGCAAGGTCCTCAAGTTGGCAACGAAATCGTTGACGCTCTCTCCGTCCTTCTGGTCTCTCCTATAGAACTCGTGTCTCTTGATTAGGTTGGATACCAGTGAGGTGTAGTGGGCCCTCAGGATCCTCTCTAAATCTGGCCATGGCATCATTTTTACATCATTGGGTGCCGAGGGAGCTTTGCCCATTTTGAAAATGGTGGGGCAGCAATGTGTGAGGAAGACAGCTTATTTCCTCTGTTCCAAAATGTTCATCATTTTGCCTCCTTCCAGGAACATGTGGAATCGGTCGACGTAAGATTCCCAGTCCTCAGTTGACAGATTGAACGGAGCGGGTGGCATGTTGTTTCCAGCCATGTTGGGTTCTTTGTCCGGTTGTTAGCCACCTGTTCATGGTCCCGCTTATCTCAGCATCCTACCTTCATCTCCAGTGTTAGATTGTGGATGAGAGAGAAAATGCGGGAGGCTCCAATCACTTAACTTCTTTATTACATTGTTTCAGAACCCTGTTCGGCAGTCTTGGCAACTCCTTTTACAATGGAGCTGCTCGCGGCTAAAACCAGTGACAGCTCTTTAATTTCCTGCCACCGTGGACCAACTAATAAGAGGTGTGTATGTAAATATCTAACAGGGTCTTTGTGTAAAGTATGGCTGCCTCACTTCCTAATGAAGAAGAGAGTTTAGTGACCTTTGTTGGTTGTAATGTATCCAGTTGGCCAAAGGCATGTCTGCCTCTCTCTCTCTCTCTAGTCAGGCACAAAAAAATCAGGAAACAAGATGGTTCAAATCACTACAAGTTTATTTCATGTTAACACTCTACAACAGGGGTGTCAAACTGGATTTCTTTGAGGGCCGGATCAGCACTGTAGTTCTCTACAGGCCGGCAGGTGGGTGTGGGTGTGGGGGGAGATAGGACTGATGCCTCCTGCAGCACCCTGCCAGCTAAAATAGGGTACAGGAGGGGCTGCACAAGCCCATCTGCACCCCATTTTCAGCTTGGATGGCCTCCTGCAGCACCCTGCTGGCCAAAATGGAGCATTTGGGGCCTCACGCATTCCCCTGCACCCCATTTTGGCTGGCAGAGTGCTGCAGGAGGCTGTCCAGACCAAAAACAGGGCATGAGGGGCTGCACATGACCCCCCATGCCCCATTTTGGCTGCCAGAGGCACCACAGGCTGCTCCTTTGCCATTTCCAGGCCAGCCCTTTGGGCCTTGAGTGTGACACCCCTGCTCTACAGAATTTAAACTACTAACAATCAAAGCAAAGTGGCAGTAGATAAGAGTAAATGGAATTCAAGGTGTGCTGGGTTAGATCTCTTGTGGATATGTAGGGAGTCAAGACTTGACAAAATTGACCTCTCTCTGCCTTGTCATCTCCTACATTGTCTTCCCTTATCTATCTTATGTAAAAACTGCCTAAGAAACTGGTTAATCCAGACCTGAATACATCCATACTCTTTCCATAATGGATATTGAACTGAGAAGAACTTGGCTACTATCTACTCTAGGCAGTCAAAGAAAGCCCACTTGCTGTGCTAGGAGAAGCATGGATGGAACAGTTTTCCCACTTTTGCCTTGCCCCAAAGCGATCATGATTAATTTATGTTTATCACTGGAGCCCAGATGAGTGAGACACCGCTAATACAATCTATTTTAAGTAGTAAGAACGCCTCAGTATTTGAAGGGGAATCTTTCTTAGTTGATGTTGTATCAGTAACCCAAGATAATAAGGAAATAGGTAAACTGGTAGCCTGCTACATGTAAAATATGTGCTACTCTAGGACATGTGTAAGGGGGTGGTCATATTAAAAAAAATCCCCTTAAAAAGTGTGTCAGGTTGCAAGCGATATAATACAGTATCTATGATAATTTCAATTACTGACAAGAATTCATATATTAGATTTATCTCTTTCATTCAGGAGCTTAAATGAATATACATAGCTCAGAACAACCAAGATCAAAAAGCACCAGGGACTGCTCATTTCAACCTTGAGCTAGAAATATTCCCCATTATTGAAACAGGTAACTCTGGGTGGCTAACTAACCAATTTATAAGAAAACAAAGCAGCACAAACCCTAACCCCCAAAACAATACAAAAAGAACTCAATAACCAAAGTTAAAATAATCCAGCCAGGAAGAAAAACTAAGGCATGTATAATAACTTCCCCAAACTGATAATTTCTATTTTTCTACTTGGTTGGATTTATTTGGATCAATTATTTTCTTTCTAAATTTATTAGGGTAATGGCTAACCACCAAGAATTAAAGCACAATCAAACTGCTCTCATTTTGAAAGATCTTAAAGATTTGACCTCTCAGCATTTATGTGACTATTTCCTTCAAGTTGACTTGACCCCTCCAGTGGATTCATCGAAAGTCCTTGTCATCAAGTGATGATGGAAGCATCATGTTTTTCTGTATAAATTCCATCCCTATGGAGCCATGCCATACATCTCTGTGAAGATATAGGACAGCTCTCTCTGATATTTAGAAAGGTGGCCAAAACAGGCTGGGAAAGTTTTACTGAATAATTTTTATGTTATTATGATGTGATTATTGAAATGGTTTTTTTTTTTTGAAGTATGCGATCATTGCTGTTGAGATATTTCTAATTACTGATGTTGTGGCTATGGACTTTTAAAATTTTTTGTTTATGTATATTTTAACTGCTGAGTGTCCAATGTGGGGTAAGAACTGTATAAAGACTGCAATAAATAAATCCCCCAAAATGGACTTGGGCGTTCCCCACTTTTTAAAGTTATGAGGTAGCCAAGAGTTATTGGTCTGATCTTTTATTGCATGATCAATATTTAGAAGACAAGGAAGGGCATCTTAGTCTTGAGCTTTTCCAAACCAAGAAGACAGAAGTTTCAGAACGATGCAAAGTATGTAACAGAAAGCACAAACTTTCTTATTACTACCTCCAGTATTATAATAAGCATAAGCTCAGGATTGACCCACAGAAATTTGAAAGAAATTCTCAAGCTCCCGGAGAATAAGTCAGAAAAACTGAATCTTCTTTCACAGGGAAGGAAAACTTTTCTAAACTTGCTAGGCACAGTTCAGCACACACCCTTTCTTCTTTGCTTTACTGAACACATTTCTGACGCATAAGACTCCACGTACCATAATTTGCTAAGAGATTGCTCCTCTGACAAGGTTCCTTGCATCATTACTAAATAATAGTTGCAGTGCCTGCATATAGAACAGCAGCTGCTATTAGCAGGAGAGGGAAGGGGAGCCAGGCTCATCTCTTCTCAAGATACATTTGTCCCATGTACTCTTAACTCTGAAGAGGAGAGAGAGAGAAAGCCCAACTTGTGGGATCTAATATGCACCCAAGGACACTGACAAAATTGAAGCAACCTATTTCTTGAAGAGGTGCTGTAAAGCAGTGATTTACCAGGGAGAGATATCAAAAAACAACTTACGGTGATGCCGAATGCTGTCTTTTAGGATTCCAATGTTCCACCTTGTGAAAGCCAATCCTTCAGTTGTGCAGAGCCCTTAACTCAATAAGCCATTTTTCCAGTGTGGAGCTCACTACAAAAAGTGCTGCAGCTACTCAATTGAAGGCTACCTCTCAAATTCATGGAGTGATACATTTGGCAGCTTTGGTGGGAACCCTAGTTTTGGCTTGACAGCCCTAAACCACTTCTCTCTTTTTTCTGCAAGAACAATAATTGTAATAAGGTAGAACTAAGGTACCGCCAGAATAAGTACCTGAATAAATGAAGGAAGAATAAATGATCCTTTCCCTTCCCTCACCATAGATTTGTATAACAGCAATTTCATATTGGCAGTTCTGTTTTCAATGAAGAAAGAGTTCAGCCATAAATGGGATCATTCCTGTGCTGGCTAAGCAGAGTCATACTAGATAAGCAGAAGGATAGGAACCCATTGACACTTCTAGGTCTAAGCTGGACATGACTGGGAAGTTAAAAACATATAGAAGATGGCAACATAAGGCTATTTCCATTTACTTATTTGCTAAGCAAATAGTACAGATGTACCTCCACTGCACTAGGTGTTGAGTCTGACAACAAGGTGATTTTATCCCTTATGTTCGTTTCCAAATGATATAGAATTTGTGATGTTTAAGCTCTGCATTACAAGGTGGTTTTTTTTTAATGTAAAACTTATTGTTTTAAGTATGAAAACACTAAAAAAACTTACGCAGAAGAAAACATTTACTGCTTTGAGGTAGGCCTTTGGTTGAATGTCTGGCTTAAGAGTCTCATCAGGGATATTAAACCACTTTATGAAGGTTACCTTTTTATAATATTTTGGTAGATTGTTACACCAAATTACAAACACACAAAAACACACATGTAGATACATAAAGTATACACATTGACCAGTCAATTGGATGTTTTGCTTTTACACAGAATTTATTTTTTTATTTAAAACATTTATAAAGCTGCCCATCTTTCATCCAACTCTGGGTGGCTCCCAATCAAAAATTAAAAATCATAAAATCATATTAAACTATAAACTACAACCAATTAAAACACTAAAAACACCAAAACCTAGCATATAATTTGCATTAAAGGCATCAAATCAGTTCTAGATCAGATTTAGTAAAGTTCTAGATTGGATTTAGTTGGAGTACAAAGAATTTTGGTGATCTTATTTTCAGGCCTTCAGTATTTGCTTTTAATCGAGCTTACAGTGTGGCATTTTTTGGATGTTACCCAGGCCTGTGATTGTTCCTATGGCCCTTTGAACTTACAGTTTTCATCCCTCGCCTGTACTCCTGCTTACGTTTCCCTTAGGCATTCATAAGACCCTCATGCAAGGTATATGAAATCAAATGTCACATAAGAATTTGCTGATACTAAAAGATGCCGTGATTTTAATAGGAATTTGGATTTTTCTGGCAGAGATAACAAATACTGTATGGGAGATCAGCTATATTATTTCAGTGCGGCAGAAGCAAGTAGCAGGGCATTTTGACTTGATCCATTCAGTCTGGCATTTATGTTTTTTCACTAAAGTTTTGCAGTTCGATAAGTCATCGTTATGTTTGCAAGGATTTGCTGAAAATTTTAAAAAGAGGAAACATGAATAAAAGTGAGACATTACCAAAAGCATAACTGCTAGGGATTATTTTACAATTGTATGCAAAGTTTTAGAGCTCAGAATCAAACATATGTATTTTTTAATAGGTTGCTTTAAAGCTGAAGATTTTTAAAATGAAAATGAAATACTCTAGTACTTAGAGTAATTATTTTAGAGTATATATTAGAATAATTATATATAGCTGCTGAATTAGTTTCAACAATAACCCTGAACAAAATTCAGAGAAACCTGGTATGGATTTTAAATTCTTAATAAGCTAAAATGGATTGATATCATCCTCATCTTTTCTGATTCAATTGTCTGGGCTCAGCAACCACTAGTATGGGCTCATATAGAAGCACCATCAAGGCAACTCTAGATGTCTGGTTATCCCATGAATAAATGTTTCATTTTGTGGTGGTCCAGTTGTCTTGCCTAGGTTTGTCTTGCTGGATAGCTGACCATCTTCCATTATGCCTGTTATTCTACCTAGAGGCTGTTAGCTCTTCAAATAAAATCTGTTCTTTGGTGACATGACATGATCTTTAAAAATGTTCATTTAATAATTGAACTTTTTTTTTAAAAAAACTTACTGCATAGTCCGTTGTCACAAGCCGAAGGACAGTCCCCACAAGGTGGTCCTGATTTATATGGAGTAGCAATTGAACCTACGATGTTCCCTCTGGAATGAAAAAAGATGAACAGAATGGTGTTATATGTTATTTATGATTTCCAAAACCCCCACTCAGTATCAATAGATAATTGACTTTGTTTGCATTGTCTTGGCCTCTCTGGTTTGGGTCATCAGTTCTGAGAGAGCAGACAGCACCGTCGAAGGGGAAGACCTGACTCTGAAATCTTCTCCAAAAGGCAGTAAATTCTTTCAAGTTTTTTTTAATAAACTTTATTGAACTTTTATTACATTAAAATCATAAGAAATATATCACTCAATAACAGCTATTTGTAGTGTTTATCATATGACAATAATTTGTGCATTATTTACAGGTATTAATTTATGCATAATTACATTCTTATTCTGTCTATTACTTACATTTAATAATTACCTATCTTTAATCTATCTCCAATCTATCCATCTATACCATTGTTCCCACACCTTATAAAATATTGAATCTTCTTCATCTTAACCCTGTCAAGTTTTGTGAGAGAGCATCAAAAATATTTTCCTGGCTAATTAGAGAGAGAAAGAACTGAGGGAAACTTTGATTTCCTTCTCATGGCTGTTTCCCCCTGGCCCTTTCATTCCCTCTCTTTCTTTGTAACATTCTCCTTCTCCTATCTCTCTGTCTTGATGAGACAAATCAAGTTGATACATACGCTGGGCAGTATTGACAAACGTAGAGGTATTTGGTTGAAGAACATTTGGCAGAAGCACAACCAAGAAGGTGACTTTTGTACCAAACTACCTGTAGATACACAAAATATGCATACATGTTGACATGCTAGAAGCTTAATATTGATAATAAACATATGGACTTCAGAGGGGCATGTAAGAAAATAAACCCAGATGCGAACATGTTGTAGTATATACAGTATATCACAATAACAATGAGTGGACAAAGAACTTCTCCAATCATTTCATATAAAAGTTTTACCAAAGCAAATATTAGAACAAGTAAGGCTTCATCCTCTGTGCTTTAAAAGTATATACTTAAAATGAAAAATATGAAACTGTTTCATCCTGAACTTTATAGACCATCTCTTTCTAAAGTGCCCCACCACATCCAAAGCAGTCTACGTGTCAAATGTTATGACCAGCAAGCTAGTTCTTCCTTCCCAGCTGCATGAAAGTCAAGATCTGAATAGACAGCTAATTGTGAATAACAACAACATGTTTAGTATGTTTACAACCCTTCATTTACTCCATATCAGTACTTAATATCAACAAAAACATTGCAACACTTTAACTTAGTCTAGTTTACCCTTTCCTCAACGTACACTGGGACTATGACTCTTAACCAGGATGTTCCTTTGCTCATGTTTATGAAATTATTTAGTGATTTTAAGGACATAGTAGCTTGGTTTTTTTGGCTACAGCACAAGAAATGTTTTGCTATTATCTTTTTATGCGATGTCTGTGGAAATTCTCAGCCATCCAGGTCATGATTATCCCAAAGGTACTTTTTTTCCAAGAGGCAACTGGACTTTCTGCTTTTTCTTTGAAGACATTTTGCTTCTCACCCAAGAAGCTTCTTCAGCTCTTTTTGTGGGGTGTTTTCTCAATTTTCCAGTCTAGCTTCAAGCCATGATTTTCCTATGTAACAACCAAGCCTACCCTTGCTTAGTGATTCAGGATCAAACAAGGACTTGAGCTTAATTCAAAGGAATCTACCTTTTTATCTTATTTTTGTGGATTTATACTTGGTGTATATAGAAACGGCAAAGATATGAAAAAGTACTACCTGGGTATAATGGCCAGTAACAGAACTTGGTGGCTTTGCTCCAATGCCATAGACAAATTTTTTGACTTCATCATACCAAGCTTGAACTACTCCACTCCATGCAAAAGGTTGACTTGACATGAATATATTTTCACCACAACGGAGTTTTCCTAAAAGTGGGGAAGGTTAAAAAAAAAAAAAAGGAACAGCTAGAAAACACAGGTGAATACATCTTTTGAAAGAAGCAAACAGACAGCAGAAAGCAGAGCTGAGCATTTCCTCTCTCTCCAGAAATACTAATGCAATCATCTTGGCAAAGCATTGGAAAGGAAAGGATCATTTTGCACCCAGATTTCTTACTGTGATGCTTTTCTAGAACCTTTGATTGTGCAGACTGACAATCCTTTGTTTTCTGAAGAGCATATAAAAACATTAATATGCTTTATTCGGAAGTAAATTAGAGCCCAGATGCACTAATTTGTGGGAACATACGTGAAATTAGGAAGATTTAGGTTTAATTTTCCAATTGACCATGGAAATCTCTGAATATCTTTGGGCTCAGCATCTACCATCAAAAACAGCTGTAGTGAGGACATTAGCACATTATCTTTAGAATCTTTGGGGAATGGTGGGCTATAAATGTAGTAATATATAATATAAAAAAGAAATGATAAAAAATAATTGTTCAAATATCATTACTCCTGCAAACCCATGGGGGGGGGGGGAAGAATTATTAACATCTCGATTGAACCAAACCATTACTATAGAATGATTCATAGGCTTTACTCTTGCTGCTAATATTGAAGAGCAAGATTGATTGTAAATGCTATTTAATGTGAAATATACTATTAATCCATTAACCATTTAAAACCATACTATTGTTTGGGATTGACTTACCCACAGTTCTTGTGTATGGTGGACTGTGAGCGAAAGTACATCTATTTGCCCAACGTTTTGCATTTTGAGCAGCACGAGAATTCCATTTCTGAATAAAAATTGACAGCAACAGTCAGTTATTGAAAAAAAATCATATGTTAAATTTGCAGAAAATATGTCTGGTAATGTTTTACTACCTTTTGGATTCCTCCAAATCCCGCAGTTAAGAATTCAGAAGTTACACCAATATTCTCTAAAATGTGCTTTGCTTTGAGTAGTTGGAGCTCCCTTCCCATCCCTTATATAGAGCTGCCCTTCTCACAAAACACAAAACTCTGGGTGGCACACAACCAAGTTAAAAGACAATAATTCACAATAACAGCAACTATTATTATTAAAAACATCAAAAACTATAAAATATAGCTAAAATGAAATGGGACCGGAACTGGGACAGGAAGATGTAATTGGGGAGAGATGGTTTCTCCAATAACCTGGCCCCATGCCATGTAGGGCAAGAGTCCCCAACACCTGGGTCATTCAGGAACCTGGCCACACAAATGAGTTCCACTCAAGCGAGCGGCGGGTGAGCAAGCGTGCACACAACTCCACTTGTGTGAGTGTTGGGCAATTGCATATGCAACTCCGCTCAGGTGAGCGGTGGATATTTGTGTTTGTGTGCAAAGCTCCATTCTGCCCCTCACACACAACCAGAGGTGGCATTCAGCAGGTTCTGACCAGTTCTGGAGAACCGGTAGCGGAGATTTTGAGTAGTTCAGAGAACTGGCAAATCCCACCTCTGACAGGCCCTGCCCCCATTTATTCTCTGCCTCCCGAGTCCCAGCTGATTGGCTGGGTCTTCTTTGGTTGCCCTGCACAGGAGAACGGAGCTGGAAAGCAGGTTAGTGGGGTGGGGAGGGAATGGGGATTTTACAGTATCCTTCTCATGCCATGCCCACCAAATAACAATAATCAAAATAAGCACTTTGATTTGGGCCTGGAGACAAACTGGTAGCCATGGAAAATACTCAGCAGAAGTATATTATTTGCTGTACAATGAACACACATAACTACCAATTCTGCTGCAATTTGCACCAATTGAAGATTCTGGGTATTCTTCAAAGGCAGTCTCGTGTAAAGCACATTTAAAAAGTCCAACCAGGAGGTAACTGGGCCCCTCAATCTAGGAATGGGCACAACTGGTATACAATATGAAGTTTATGAAGACCCTCTTAGCCACAACTGCCACCTGCTCCTCAAGCAGGAACTGTGAATCCAGGAAAAACCCCAGATTGGGCACAGAATCTGTTTAGGGCAATATAACATCATACAGCAGCAAAGAGATGTCATTGTCCCAGAACTGGAGCACCCCAAAACCCAAAGCTTGTTGTTCCTCATCCAAACCTTTGCAGTCTCTAGACATCACAAGAAAACATCTGGCTTGCAGTGGCACTTCCGTCGAGGACAGACAGAGACCACAAATGCTTGAAAATTAACGTTAATATAATTGAAAAAAAGGGGGGGGGAAAGAACTTTGAAAAGTGGAAGTGATATAGAGCGCCACCTAATGGTACAAGTCATTTTTTCCTGGATGACTTTATGGAAAATTACTGGTCTGTTAAATGTGTGAATGAGAAAAAAACATGAAATAAAATATTTTAACATAACAAGAACCCTGGAAACTTAAAAGAAAAAGAGAGAGATTGCAGCAAGAGGACAAAGGAAGGCAATATCTTGGGACTGTTGAGGGTTGACTGGGCAAAGGAAATAGAAATACCAATAAGGATAAGAGATATAAATGGAGTCTCTTGCCAAGGATTACAACTAACTTTAATAAAATAAAGAATAACACAATTTATTTAAAAAATGGAAGAAGCAAGCAAAGAATTTTAAGTTGGAACTGCAAACTGTGAAAGAAATGATAAAAGAAAGAAGGGGACTATTGGACATACTGGCAGAAAAAAGTAATGCAATTTATAGCAGAACAAAGGAATCCTAGAGAGGAGGAGCCAAAGGAGGAGGAAAACAGCCAAGATGGACATGAAGATTCAGAGACATTGCCAAAAGATACAAAAGGAACTAAAACTGAGACATTGATGACAGAGATAATAAATAAAAGAGATAAAGCTTCCAAGAGTAAATTAGCCAAGCGCAGTTCCTGCAACCATTCATTGTATGTTTTAGCCTCTAGTCCCCTAATTATCCTGGTTGCTCTTCTCTGTACTTTTTCTAGAGTCTCAACATCTTTTTTATAATGTGGTGAACAAAACTGGATGCAGTATAGGTGTGGTCTTATTAAGGCTTTATAGAGTGATATTAGTACTTCCCTTGATCTTGATTGTATCCCTCTGTTAATACAATTTAGGATTACATTAGCTTTTTTGGATGCTGCTGCTCATATTTAGCTGGTTGTCCACTAAGACTCCAAGCTCCCTCTCACAGTTACTGCTATTGAGCTTGGTTTCACCCAGTCTATATGTGTACTTTTGGTTTTCCTTACCTAAGTGTAGGACTTTACTTTTCTCTACACTGAATTTCATTTTGTTAGATATGGCCCAGTGTTCAATTTAGTCTGTCAAGATCCACCTGGATCTTGAGCCTATCTTCTTGGGTATTAGCTATTCCTGCCAGCTTAGTATCATCTGCAAATTTGGTAAGTTCCCCTTCTATTCCCTCATCTAAGTCGTTAATGAAGATATTGAAGAGTACTGGGCCTAAGACAGAACCTTGTGGCACCCCACTGTTTACTTTCCTCCATGTAGACTTAGACCCATTAAGGACTACTCGTTGATTTGCCAGCCAGTTGCGAGTACATCTAGTGGTGGTGCTATCTATTCCACTTTTTTCTAGCTTACTAAGAAGTAGGTTGTGATCTACTTTCTCGAATGTCTTGCTGAAACATAAATATATTATGTCCACAGTATATTTTGCTGGTCTACTAATTTAGTCACTATGTTGAAGAATGAAATAAGATTGGTTTGGTATGATCTGTTTTTAACAAACCCGTGTTGACTGCTAGTTATTACTTTACTTGTTTCTCAAAGTTGGCAGATCTATTTTTTTATTATCTTTTACAATATCTTCCCGGGTGTTGAGGTTAGGCTGATTGGTCTATAACAGGGGTGGGCAATTAATTTCTGTCCGAGGGCCGAACCAATTTTACAAAAGGCCATTATAAAGGGCCCATTATAAAATGCAGCAAATTATATATAAGAATATTATATATATA